CGGTATAGAGATATTATTCACTGCAAGTAAAGAAACGGATTAGCACTGAACGAAGTTAGATCTAATCAAAATATTACCCAGTTTGGCAGATATTTGCAGAGGAGAGCAGTTCGTGATTTAGCATTTTTGTGTTAAAAAAAAAAAAAATCAAGTGCCGTGGAAACGGAACTGTTCAGCGAAAGAAAGTACAAAGTGTCATTTCAAGGTGAATGCCACGCACTGTAGCCTTCCTGAAACCATTTCTATATAAACTAATCTACAGTTTCTATGTTACAAATACTTCGAGAATTCGTTGTAAAAGGCCAAAACGAGAGCAGCACCAATACCACGTACCGTATTCACCCATAAACCGTTGAAGTAAGCCTTGAGGCCTTCCTCATACCATATCTTCTGTAACAGATTCAATAGTGTTACTAAAATTATCACACTGATCACAAATTCCCTTAACAACATTTGTTATCTCACAAAGCTAAACTGCATTTGAAACGCGTTACATTCTGACTGCAAAGTAATTAATTATATGTACATTGATTCAAGTACCGACATGAATTTAGTGTAGCTAAATGGAACCTCAAAAAAAATGTTTCACACCACCAAACAACTTAACCCATGGGAAGTTCCATTCGTATTGACAACTTCTCCACTAATTGTTCTAATCATCATCATAATATTAATGCGAAATTTAATCTTGATTCGACGAATTAAAAAGGAATTAAATTCCACCATACTTTGAAGTTTGCAAATGTTATAAAGTCAAGAGAGATATACCATGGTACAATGCCATACTCCTCGATAAAGTATATCACTACGACCAGCCTGCATCATAAAACGCCTACGTATCGTATCCAGTGGGTAAGAAATTAAAGCTGCGGTGAACGTTACCACCTATAATCATAATTGCATGCTTCCTTTTAGTTCGAAAATTAGTTACAAATTTCGAAATTCATCAACAAGTCATTACAGAGAAAATTATCAGGAGCATACATATACAATACCTGGCCAATTAAAAAAGCACAAATGAAACTGATATCATTGTTGCCATGTTTAGTCAACTGCGTTTTCGCTGTATCAAAAAGACCATAATATGCTCCACGGTACAAAAAAATGTACTGAAGTGACGGCCAAAAACCACTGCAAAATTTGCATTCCATGCCAATTTCCGAGATAAAAAGGAAAGTAATCAATGAAGTGGGATTTCCCATCTCATAAGCGAAGCTCAGAAAGTTTTCACCTCATGTAAAGATACTCAATTCGAACGCATCCTTTGTCATGAGCAACACATAATAGAAATAACTTACTAATACAATCCACGCAAACCATCATGCTTGAATATCTTATGCATGCAGTCGAAAAAACCTGAGAATTCTCGAGATGCTCCTTTACCCATATCAATAGCTAATCTGGATATTCAGTTGTTGTTAAAGTTACATGATTATCAATGAAGTTACTAGAACACCTGAATCTATAAGTTAGGCTTACAGGGCCAACAAGTCACAAAGCCTAAATCTTAACTGCATCAGTCTATAAAAGCTATCCCGAGTTCATATAAAGCTCTAAACTTTGTAAAATTGCAAATAAAGTAGACAAAAGAAATTCACCGTGTCCTCACGAAATCTAATGGATAGATTATGCAGTACGTTGCAACACCGGACGCAGCACCAGCACCGAGATTACCTAAAAATAAGTAACATTTTCCACAAATGATCTATCATTTGATAAAGAACAAGGTCATCGGATACAATAAGCTTCAACTTCGATTCCAACCAGAAGTTTCAAAATGAAAACCAGTCGATTTCCAAAACAGTATCATTAAACTCAAAAAGTCATTTTAATGGACCGTAGTTATTTTCCAATGCTCTCAGTTTTCGGCCTAATAAAAATGGCTGCCTATGTCCGCTTTACAATACCCACAGAATATATTGCAACAAAGAACGCATGAAACAGCATTACTCACTAGTAGTACTTGTGACTTTATTCAAATTCAGCTATAAATTTATAAACCTGCTGTAAGGCGCCAGTAGTCCTTTTTACCATCTACACCATTAAGAAACCAAATTTTGAAGAAATCCTTGAAAGCAAATCCAAAGGATTCCTGCAATTACTCCGATTAAAAATAAGCCAGCAATCTTTATTGTTACCGAGTCATCAAGGAAATAGGATAATGAATTCGGACATGGCTTATGTGAACAGAAACACATCTAAGATTTTCGATAACATTAATCCATATGATCCTAGCTTCGGTAACATATTCACCAATTCACCATTTGGACATTAGATACTCTTGAATGTTAACTTCTTTGAGTAAGCTCAGAGTATTAGTTTTTAAACAACCCATCTAATCGATTCAAAGCTTAAATTTAACGGTGCTTAAAAACGGATCCATGAATGGAATAAGGACGAAAAGTGCAATTATTTCGCAGCACCTGTGAACAAGCTCGAGAAATATTGACCAAATTCCCACGCCAAAAGGACAGAAAACCTTGTTCAATCGGTATTCGCGCGAAGCAATCAAGCATACCTTTATAACGTTTCCCAACTGCAATAGTTTCCTGGGCGTTTTGCAGCTAAAATGATATCACTAGATTGGTTCACTAGATATACCAAATTCATTCCGATAAACCGGAAGTGTGGAAAATTTGTTGGAGAAGTGGAAATTTGGGATGCCATATAAAAACGCTTTCCGAAAATACAAATATCTAATGCAACTTCCAAATATACCTGTAGGATTAATTTAACTCGCTCGATGGGAGCAATAATCGTTTTAGCTATTACCGCCGCGCCAGCTCCCAATGTCAAATCTTTGAGAAATTTTGTTGCATCACTGGCATTAGGCATATAATCGCGATGCACCGTGTCCTCCAATCTGAAATGACAACGAATCATGTGGGTAGACAAGATATATAAATTACAATTAGACTTCACTAACACCTAATATAAATATTCTTCTACAGGGAATCTCAAAATAAATGTAATAAACATTTCAAGGAATGACTTAATCATAGCAGATCATTTTCCTATGGTATCAGACAACCTTTGGTTTATCCATAAATGCTAACCTGCTCATGATGACGAAAACTTATTGATATCACCTTCCACCGTAACATTTGATTCGAAACTGTAAGGTTTGCATATAACCTCAAATGAAAATGATAACAGTATAAACATATTCTTCTAAAAAGCATTCATATACCGGAATATCAAGCATCCTGTAGATGGTATTCACCCATTGAACAAGAGTGTGAAAATTTCGCAAAAGATGCCGCATATTCGTGAGGGTGTCAAGCATCTCCCAGCAGAGATATTTACTTAACCAAAACATAACGCTAACAACAGCACTTCTCTCAACTCTTTATTTTCCCAACCTGCTGTATTACTACTATTCTCTCGCAATTCCTTTTGATCTCTGGCACCATAATGAAATGATTGGAAAAAGCCTATCATCTGGAGGAATGAGATATGAATGCCATGTGAATACGGTAATTACGTATCGCAATACTTTGAGCAATATACAGGACAATCAGGACTCAAAGAGAAAGTACCGCATCTCTAAAGAGAAACATTTGTCTTTACAGTTCCAGCCGAACTTCTTCCCGCCACGCGTAGGTGTTACAAGTTCGAATCCTATCACTGGTAATTTTGCATCGGCAACATTTTCTAGCACATTCAAATCCTCTGAAAAAGCCTTTTCCGTCTCTCCAGCTGTTACCACCATCCACTCTTTTACCAAAGAAATGCCGGTTTACCTGACAGCGTCCAGGTGAACATCGGATACTCGCTTCAAATACCGATATTGACATTTAATTTACCGTGGATAGAACTGGCGTAAATATCATTCAGGCAATGAACAATTAAATTTGATGAAATTCAAACTTGCAACTATCATTTTAATGCTTCATGTTTGTCCTCACCTGCAGTTCATTTTTGTAACACAGTCTCTCCCTCAAAAATAACCCCTACTCAGAAATCCACTGGGCACTATGCTTATGCCTGATTCCTGGTAGAATAATGCGCCAGTGCATACAATGCACGACACCCACATTACGCGCGCTTACTGCCGCATGTAAAAAAAGAAAACAGTCGTCTCTCTTCCTTGACCCGAGTAGTTTAATTTCTTACAGCTAAGTTCCAAGTTTCCATTGTTCATTCCAGGAAGTGTAGCCTTAAGTCAGCTCTTGAATAGTTTGAAAAATTGGGTCATGTAAAGGAGGATATTTGCAGACTTCTGGGATCCAAGCACTGAAGAACTGACTCCGTCCGAAATATCGGACCAGTCACGGCAAGTACTTTGGCAGCATCCGTTCTCCTTCCTCTTTTCTCGAAAGAATTCTTCATGGCTCAGTTATGCTATAAAAACCTGAGCTGTCATCAGCATGAATCCAAATTTAAGCATTAGAACATCAAAATTCTTCCCACGTATAACATTCACCTGGCTGAGATCACGCACTTCCATAACTTAAAAAGTAGAGGAGCAATCACCAGAAGGAAAACTAAACATATATTTGACATGATATTTGTTGTAACTCCCCAGGGAATTCTCAATATATGCTATTGCAGGCGTGCAATTGTATGCGCAGTCATTAAGAGAACCGAACGGACCAGATCGGACCGTCCTCGCTGAAACATTTTCACAATCATAATAATAAAGTAGAGTACATAGATGAAAAACACTGAAAGCTGCCAGACTTATTGCAGCAATTTAAAATATAAAGGTTGAATAAGAACTGAAATAGACGAACTTCATTTTATTCTGTGTAAGAAATGCTAGAAGGAACCCAATATAGAATGATAGATAAAGAAATACAAGAAATTAAAGATAATAAATTCAAAAAATTAAAGATAATAAATTCACGCTCACGTAGAGAATCTCAGAAAAAAGAGAAAGATAGATAAATTTATAGTTTCAGTGGGCTTAACAGATCACAGAAAAATAAGGCAGAGTTGAATTCCAACGTGTGGTACTTAATAATACAGGAAAATGTATTATTAAGAATAATACAGGAAAAAAGCGCAAAAATTGACATACTTATAGAAGTCTTCGGAAGACGTTGCAAAATGCTGTCAAAAAGAACCGTCACTTTACTAAACAAAAATTACGTTTTTTTTTAGCAAGACACCTGCTGAACCCCGTACTTCTAGCTACGGTAAATGATTAACATCAAAGAGAAAGCATGCACGGTGAAACGGGAAAAAAGCTCACGTGCGAAGGAGCGTATGAGAACAAAGGTACACCAAACAACGAGAAATAACGTAAAAACTGTGTCAATGTATGCGAAATAATAATGATAAATAATGAATGAATTAGACAACTGTCAGTAGTATCGAAAACATAGAATAAATAATCGTGAATGATGACAGTTGAAGAGAACGACTGTGCGCCTTTCTAAAAATGATCACAACCTTTTTGCAAAGAAACAAAATGATCAGTACCATCATCACCACATTGCACATGATGAACACACGTTAATACTTTGAAGCATTTCAATTTGATCATTCTTTCCCTTCTGAAATATGTATATTTATATATATAAATACATATATATACTTTTTCTTTTGTATGCAAAGTCAATATAATCTTATGATTTTCAGCTTCAAATTTCGAATTACTAACTGTTATACTGTTCATACGCAAAAACTAGTGCTGTTATTTCACGACAACTATTACTGTCATGCTACTATTAGGAACAATCGCACATTGTTGTTGACAAGAAAATCCCAACTAGCAACTGTTTAAATTTCCCTTTTTTCAAACAGTTTATACGTTTTAAAATATATTTAAATTTCTAATTTGCAATTAATTTTTAAATAAAAAAAGTGAAAAGTTTGCCAAAAACGAAATTTGGTACTGGCTAATAATATTCCGAAGGAAAAAGAAGCGGTAAAGTGATCACTGGTGTAAAAATTCATGAAGTACGATTCCAAAAATTCCAATGAGTCATCATGTCAACTTACAACAGCAATATCATTACATAATATTGATAATTAAGCATAAAAAACTTCAGATAATGATGCAAAGTACATACGGAGTAATTAATTTCTCTCAGTAATAAAATTTACAACGCGAATCTCGGCACTAATTGCGATGAATTCGAAGACCATGGGTACCTATAAGACGCTGATTTTTCAATTATATTTGCATTTGAAGTAATTTGATGAAATCGTATTTGTATTTTCTTCTCTCTGTCATGCAATTTTTAACAGTGCATGCAAAAGCAAACTTGACAGACCGAACTCTATTTTGATGAACTTGATTGAAGTGAATGTTAGCTTTGGGTGAAATGGTGCAATGAAGTTTGAAAAACAATAACAAAAAATATGAAAGTGACAAAAGTTAAAAATAAAAGAACACACTAAAAGCGTTTCAAATTTAAAACAAAAATGAAAAGAAAAATGGCAAATGCAAACAAAAAAAAAACCGTCTTCAATTAATATCAAGATATCTATGAAAGACGAAAAGAGGAAATAAGGCAAACATCTGGAAAATTCTGGAAGACAAAAAAGCAAAAGGGAAACAGGAAGTACCAAAAGGTTCTTCATACGCGGTTATCAGTTCGAATCAGTGCCTCATGTTGTTATTTACTAAAAACACGAACAAGTTCTTACTACTACTGTGCAGAATAACATATCCTACTCTTGATCACATCCGTTTGAATACTTCCACAATAGGATGGATAAAGCTAGAAGTTAAAGCCTATATCTGGGAATCAGTTACATCGATGCGAGGAAATGCTCCACACTAAATAACGGGGCAGTACTGGTGCCAATAGTATCCGATTTCATAGGATCCTTTTTCTGAAGATGAGAAGGAATGAAACACATCATTTTGTAAGGTCATAAGGCCTTGTCTTGCGGTTTTAACGAGTACCAGGGACGGTGAGAGATATGCACAAAAACAAAAAAAAATTTAACAAAATACTAAATAAATTCCGAATAGTTCTGAATTGTTTACATATCACTAATAGAGCAGAATTTTTAAGGCCTAAAAATTCTCAGCAATAAATCCGACAAAATGCATATTAAACTATGGTATTCGTGATACCAACTGAAAGTCCCTTCATCATTCCACAATTATAATGGATTGCAGAGACTATCCTTTTCCTACATCCACCACATCACCTGAAGCTTTTCATTTTTCACTGATCTTGCTTAATAAGAATACATTAAGGCACTGAATCGAATTGAAAAATCACAGCTTGTAGTCGTTATAACAAAAAGTCTTCCAGATTTTAAAACGATTTCGCCGGTATTTCATATAGATGAAGAGAACCACCATAGCGATGACCGACAGCCACAACACGGAAAATGATCGTTTCACTGATGATCCACCATAATACCTACGGCCTACAAAAAAAACGGAACATATGATGATTTCAAAAAGACCTGCTGATTGCGCGCCGAAAAACGGATGCTATGTATGTGACCATTTTAGGTGAAAGAAGAATAACAAAGTAATAAAAATTATTCTATGTCAAACGCACTTCATATTTACACAATTACGTTCATTACGTAAGTGTTAACTACGTAAAGATGTAACAATCACAGCGGAGAAATGGTACACCTATGTGACTGGAATAACAGGCAAGGGATAATAGCCACTTGAATAATAGTTACACTAGGCATTGCTTATTATAACTCACTTCTCTTCAATAAATGGCTGAATCTTGATACTGCCGAGATGTAGTTAAAACACAAGCATCACCGTGCTCTTTCCTTTACGCTAATCGGCTTAAACAATTTGATGGCTGAGTAGCAAGAGCTACACAAGAAACATATCTCTTATATTTGACATATATCGAAAGCTTCAAATATGCCAAAAAAGAAATTAAAAAAAAAAAAACCAACACCACGTTTTGTTGGATAAGAGAAGTGACCCAAAAAGCAATACATCAGCTTATATAAGACCCAAATACTAATTTCAATAAATGAACTGATTCACAGGCTCGATATTACAGAAAGCTCCTTTACGAACCCACGGTCAATATGATGATCGATTGAAGCATTAATTTTTTAAATGATAGGATAACTTTCATGCTTATCTGCTAATTCAACAATTCTCATAATAAATAATTCTTGAAAAGTGTAAAATCGCAGCATTTTTTTCCCTCGTTTATAATTGTGCTATTAAACTTAACGACTGCGATAACACTTACCGTGAGCTCCGATGTCAGTTCCCCATACAGGTATGTCTCCGATGAGCTTCTGATCAGCTTTTTCCATGGCGTCAACATTGAATGCGCCAATTTGTAATTTTGGATTTAAATGCCTCATTTCAACAGCTACCAATTTGCCGTCGTCAAAATCACTCACTTTATAACCAGGCACAGACTGAAATCAGTTTCACAGTTTGAAAATTTAGAGAACTCCGATCCAACTTAAGCAAATCTAAAATTCATAAAGTATGTGAAAAATGCTTATCTTTCTTGAAAAAGAACAAGAACAAGTGGCAGTAAAGTTACGTTTCGAAAACCACAAAGAAAGTCATTTATCTAACCATAAAAAAATTAGCTCGAAATTAAACCGGACTTACTCTAAGACCATCGATCTTAAAGTCATTGTAATAGTTGATCATGAAATCCAATACAGCTTCGCTATCAAATTCAATATCGTGTCTCCTACATTTTGGACATAACGATGCTGGTGGGAATTGCTGTTTCGGGAAGGCCGGATCTTCTGATGCTTTGCCGGTAATATATTTGTTGACGATATTATGTGTCATCCACAACCACATTATGCCATCCGCTAAATATACATATCTCTATTGCTCACCTGTATTTTAAAATATTGAAACAAATTCAGCAGATAAGTCAGAAACAGTAACATGAGGTCAACATTGTCATGTAATAAAATTAGGCGCTGTACAAAACTCCCTTCATTTGGAAAATTGAGAACTAACAAAATCATGCGGGTTCCTATTGGGTTATCTATGTAGAGACAGTGACTGAGATGGAAAAACAAAATTTAACATACCAATGAAACAAAAAAAAAAGGAAAAAATAACAAAAGCCACCATTTGAATTTGGAAAAAGAATATATCTTGACCCACGCAAAGCAATATATTAAGCATGTTTAGTTTCATTTATGTTTTATTGCTTGCTTCCCGGAATGCTCCTTTACCTTCCTTCGCATTTTATTGTTTTTTAAATTTACCTACCCGGCGTAATAACTGCAGTCATATTTCGCTTCAAAATTCCTTCATGAAAATGAGTCGCGCATTCGATGCAGCCGAAGAAATGCCATATAAATCGATGGAATGGTTCGATCAGATCGTTGTTAGCATTGAAATTCAGGTCTATAACCAAAAAATTGCATTCTTATTAAAAGACAATTATTCTCAAGTTCAATTCCAGTAGTTACAACGATCTATCTTTTTCTTTGCTTCTTCTGTATGAACATCCTTTCCTACTTATAAAATGTCAGCCATAATGTCCATTCACACTAATTCGGAAAAAGAAAAAAAAGGCTTTGAATGCAACATCCAACATGCAACAGCCAACATGGATATTATTTATTGAATTACATAATGAGCATAAAAATCCCAAACTTCCTTACATGCCTGTTTTTGCTAGTTAATCCTTATTTAAAGGAGCTGATAGTGAACGAATCATACACTTACCGTCTTTCTCAACTTTATATGCCTGAACACTCATCGCATGTATTATAGTCCATATTCCACAAGGAAATCCTCGCAAATGAGGTTTTGATCCACGACAAGCCATATAATTGCTTGTACTTGGAAGTGGTTGACCTAACTGATCCTAGAATGAAGACACACAAATAAAGAGTACCAGCAAGGAAAGTTATTCAAAAAAATGGAATGTCCCATTTGGTTAACAGTAAGAAAGGAGAAAAGGAAAATTTCATTGATGATATTATACTATCCATCTATAGTATATACAACTCATTCTTAAATTATCAAGTTTTGAATACTTCAAATATCGGACGTATTATCTGTTTATTTAACTATGCGGAAAAAAACTTCAGATAATTATCTTACAGAGATGAATAGTAGCAATTAATGATATCTCGTGGCGATGGATAAATTATAAGTTTGAGCAGAAATGTTAAGGAGAAAATCATCACAAATTATGATTGTGAAAATACGACGTCCAAGTGATATTTCTTTAGCATTCTATTCAATATAATGTTGAAAGGAAAGTATCTCGACATAAATAAAATATACTATAAAGAGGTCTGAAGCTTAATTAAACCAAAGATTAGTTACCTGGATAACCTTTACTTGATATAGCCACTGTTCAGAAGTGAGCTCAGTTGATACATTTTTAAGCCAATAATCTAACCTATACAACAACTTTCGCATAGGAATTGTTCCCGGCATATACTAAAATGTTTTATTTATAAGCCTGATCCATTTTTGAAATAATAAACGGAAAAATATTGGCAAATACATCAAAAGATAAAGTGTCTCAATTTGATTATGAGTTTCAATTAATTTATGTCATTCTCAGAAATGACAAACAAAGAGGAAGGAATACAGGCCAATAAAACGGATTACTAAATTATGTTGGGTTAATGATAACAAACTTACCTTTTTCATCGCATGAACCCATAATTTCAATGCTGTAAGATCTTCATCTTTAATCAGAGACTTCCTCGGTATTTCAGCCGTTAACATATAACGAAGCGCAGTTATGATATCCATCATTTGCACCTTAAAAATACCTCACATTGTATAACGCATTTCAAGAACCTAACCAATTACCTTCAAGTCCGCAACAAAACGAAATACAGAAACGCACTTCAAATTGACTCCAAGTAACCACCAGCTTCGCATCATCGATTGTTTTCATATCTCGTAGCACTTCATTCTAAATCGACGAAAATTTAAATTTCAACATCCATAATCTCGAAGGTACCTATTTCCAGTTAGGAAATCACAATACCCAGTATATTTAGTCGCTTCAAGAACAATTCATTCTCAGAAATATCTAGTAGAGGTAAAATATGGCACTAACATGGCAGTTCAAATAGTTTTTGGTTATTCAAAGAATGTTATATATATGGTATATTTTTATATGTGGGAAGTATTACTAATTTTACGTGAAAATTAAAATTAGACACAACGAAAATTATTTCAGGCATATATTCTTTAATCATATTACAAAGTAATTTTTACATACGCAATGATCGACCGACTGGTCAGTAGATATTTTAAACAATTTAGGAATGATCAACAAATTAAAAAGAAAAAAAAGGGCAGTGTTGAAAAGTGAAAAGATACCTGATGAGGAATAGATGGTTCTATCATGGGAATTTGTGCCACATGCTCATTAATCTTATTTTGCATCTGAAGCCAAGTATCATGTTCCCTGGAAAAATAAACATCTTCCCTTTGCTATCGAATTACATGATATAACAATAAACAACAACACTGAAACCGATAATACAGTCATCGCTTATCAATACGATCGTTGGTCTAAAAGTTCATGATTTTCATTCTTTACAAACTATTTTCTCGAGAAATTACTCATGTGTGACAAAAGCAAAGCATATTTACATAGAAATATAAAGCGGAGTTGGTTGGCCTTTCTTCAGTAGAAATAATCGCGAAGTTCCTAATGCTGCTGTAATACCAAACTGCCATGCTATTGGATTATTACGTTGTACTTGCGCTATGTAAACTCGTTTATCGTTGGCAAATGCTATCATTTCCTGTATGAAAAAAGTTCACGCACTAATGATGTTATTCGACCACAAACAAACAACAAATAGAAACAAAGAAAACTTACGGAAGCAAACAATAAAAAGTCGTGTTTGCTCACTGACATATCAATTTCACAGTTCTCAATGATATATTTATCTGACAAATGTAACACAAAAAAAGAAAGGAAAAGTTTTCAACAGCTCTTAATGAAGCATTACTTGAATATCACCTTATACCGCACCGTACATATCATGAAACATTCATCATATCGTAAAAATTATACCGTTTTATACCGTAAAAAGAATTATTAAATTTGAGAAATATCGCTTACCGCCCAAGCTGTCCTTGAAGGATTGTCTTCAACGATCAGAGCTAACAACGAAGCAATCGGGGGTATTGTGGGTAAAATATCTTCAAGCCTGACATAACTGAAAAATTAAAAATAACTTCTTACGATAAATTCACAAATAAAGCAAATTTTAAGTGATTTTCAAATAAATTCAAGAAGTTCTTACCTTCTACTACACGGGGTATATCTTTAGTTACTCTGCTCATGCAATGATAATTAAATATGCTAGTTTTAATTTGAATACTGCAAGGACAATGGCATTCATTTCAAGTTCTAGTACATAGATGAAGAAATAATAAAACATACTTATCACTAGTCTGAAAATTTGGCCATTCTGCAGGCCTTTGATATATCCAGTCATTATACACCATTCCGGCAATATCTAATGCCACTTCATTTAAGTTATGCTTATTTCCTGCATATTTTACAGCGTCATTTACACTCGTTGACATATATTTGAAGTACTGAAAAGAGATTAAAACTTTTCGAAATGTAAAGAATAACATCTTACAGTTGGAAGGATTGTAACAGACCTGCAACACACATTTCTCAACTTATGAAACATTTCGAATTACGACAGGAAGCAAAATTTTCTTGAATCTAAGATGTACTTTGCCTTTTCAACAACTGTGGGTATTGCGGTTCTTTTACGGGTAAGAATGTGGTCCCATGAGAATGGTGCATGTAATTGATAATAACGACACAAAAAAAAGTAAAAAAAAAAAACAAAATAAAATTCGATATAGCTGTATTTGTCTTAACAATATCGATTGAACTGCAAAGTTCGACGCGTTTCTAGCAATATTGTTTAGAAAACTATGTGTTTCTCCACACTTAATACATATATTACATAGAATTAAAAAGTTCTGAAGGTATGCATATATGTTATCAAAAGAGATGAAGAAAAGATAACTGATTTTGCTTTAAATTTGGAAAATTTTATAAGGTAATCAAGGGAAGAAGTATTACTTTGATAGTTGGAAAAGCATCAACATTATGCTCGCGACACAATTTTAAATTTTGATCGATAGCACAATCTACGGCTGCAATCTGAACCATAGGTTTCCATTGTAGTAGTTGTCTGCAAAACTTTTTCCAGCATATTAGTAAGTTCCTATCTTGCTATGATAACGGAAAAATCACAGGTTTACATGGGCCATCAGATGTACGCAATCTGATATTTAAGATGAACCAAAGCTTAAAGATGAGAATTTTCCGCGAGCAAATAAAGAGAGAAAATAATCAGATAAGTAGTGAAGAGAGATTATAAGTTTTCTCTAAGATGGGTCATAGCCCACGCTCGAAAGTTCACTGTTGGAGTCTACAATCTAAATACGACTTACAAATCAATGATGCAATGTTCCTCGTCAATTTATGAGTTACTTTGAATTAAGTAGATCAAATGCCCAGAAGTTAGTTTAAAATCGCTTTGTTAGGTCATCATTAATCAACGGACTCTTAGGATCTAAGTAGGTTTCAGTGAATTATTTGCTTAGCAACTAAATAAAAGGGAAGAAATTGGGAAGGAGCAGAATGTTTTATTCCTTCTATCCCACCGTATTTTCAAGGAAAACAACTACGTCCTTCTAAATCTTTTATCAGACAAGGAATTCAACCTAACATTTCTTTAATTCTATTCATTCAAAAAAGAATCTCTATCGTCCTCTTTCTAACTTCCCTCTCCAAATTAGCATTTCGTGAAGAGAAAACTCAACAAATTTGGCTAATATTCGAAAAGAAACAAATTTCTGCTTACTTTGCAAGCTGTTTGTATGTTTCCGCGTATCCAATACAAGCACCACACCAACTCGAGAAAAACTCCACGAAATAAACTTGATTCTGAAATATAAACTTGATCCATAAATTATTACTCCAAAACAATTATCTCACTTGAGATATCGCATGCAATCTATGCAGGCAATAAACCGTAACGAATGAAATAATATAACCCAAAGATCTAACTAGAAGTAATAATCGATATGATGATAACATTATGGGTTAGACAAATGATTTACATCCGAATTCAATATAAAAATTATAGAAATGAGCCACAAAATTATGCATTACTAATTTGCATTTTTCCCGGGTAGTACCGGAAATCTCCTGTCCATAAGTACATACATGTAGAAGAAATTATTAAATTATATCGTTTCAACTCCATTTCATTTCAAGTGCTCTTTGTCGAATCAAAAACATTTGAAAATAAAACTTCTGCTTGAATAAAAACTTCCATTCTCTAATTCCATGATAAAGTTACTTACTGTATTGTACACTTTTTTGTCGAAATTATCACTATTTAATACAGTTATATGATCATTCGGACCATATAAAGAGGACGGTATTGGTTCGTCATTGTCCACTTCACTGACCGCTATCCGCTCAACAAATAATGTCGAGATGGTGATAAGTAATAACCACGTATATTTATCGCTACCAATCATGATTACTATTATTATTATTATTCCAATATTGTATATCTTAAATTCTGTAATGGCATGTTTCAGTAAATACATAATGACAGTTGTGTTTAATGAAAACCACTGGTAAAAAAACGTTGGAAAGTGTTGAAATGCTATGGTAATTAATTCTATATGACAAAAAAAATCATTTCAACAAATTGAAAAAAATATCGCGCCAAAAAATATCTCAAAATATTTTTTGGTTAAATCGGATTTGGAAGATCAATGGGACAGATTCCAGGGAATATTACAACATTTGAAGGTGTAAATAGGCAGGAACTGTACAGTGATTTATTTTAAATGGCAAAATTCGTGATCGGATCATTAACGAACAAAAAGTTCGTAGAAGGAAAAAAAGGGCAACTATGGACGGAAGAGCTCACTGCAAACATTGCTTGGATCTTAGAGATCTATGCTTTTCAGTCAATCAATCAAATGAAAAATGGAAAAAAATGAAAGTACAAGAACAGAAAGAATTGAGTCAGTCTTTTTCTTTCAGTCAAACACATATATGACAAGGAAGTTTAGTAAATCAAAATATCATATATCACCCAGTTTTAAATAAAGGGTAGAAAAAGAGTAAAATTAGCGAAAAGTAGCCGTCAAATTGTATGACGTTTGAGCGGGAAAAGGAGAGAATTATAAAGGAAATAATAGTGCACTGATAAGCATTCGGAATAGATATCCCTCAATGCAGTTATTATTGATAAGAAAGAAAAAAAGATGGGTAGAGTAACATCAACCAATCTAATGACACCTTACACTTTCTGAATAACATTAAGAGCAGAAGGAGATATTTCGCGTTCATCCAACGCACGCAAAAATGGGCCAAATTTTCATGTAAGCTTTACAAAAATACAGCTACTTTTCCTTTAAATTTCAATTACGCTTTCGTGTTCCACGTATTAAAGGTAAATATTAATGCCAATTTTTTTGACGTCTCATGCTGAGCTTTATTTATTAACGATATATTTAAATGCTTCATCCGCCTCACACTGATCCTCACACAAAATGTGATAAATCTGTATACAGCATAGGCATCTGTTACACTAGTTACATCTTAATCCCAAACCAAAGATCTTAGTGTTTAAAACAGTCGTTGTTCCTTGAAACATTTAACCTACCTAACCTCCCATTTGTACATTCTCAATTACAATCTATCGATAATTTATGGATATTCGCAGGCAATAAAATCGAATTTCTTACTCGCTAAACTGCAGTGAGGTATAAATCATATATGTTTGTTGTGTTTGTCTGTATTGTGCGTGTATGTTGAGTGAACACTTCAAGCCAAGAAAGATCAACCCAGGCGAATGAAAACTTATCACAAAAAAGTGGAAACCTACAGTAATCACAATAATCCCATAAAAAGGGAAGCTAGAGAGAAATAAGAAGAGCAAGGATAGTTGAGGTAATTTTGAAAATTATATTCTATAAAAGTGATAGGATATATTAAATTTCTTATGTGTTAAATATTGTTATTCCACTACCAAGAGGAAAAAACATGCGACGAAACTAATTACAATACTAGTTTGTTGAAAAAAGAAGGAAATACAACGATTACTTGTTGAAAATAACTGATGAATAATCACAAATAGAGGACATAATTGGTGGCTACGACTCGTTTAATCATCCAAACCTCAACTTTTACTCTACTACTACCATTACTATTATTGCTATTGCTACTACTGTTACTGATACTACTACTGCCACAACAACAACTACTACTACTATTGCTCTTAAAACTCGAACTAATATGGACAAAAGTATGGTTGAATTTGAAGGGAAGCATAATTAATTGCACAATTAATTTTGCATGATGGAAGTTTAAATGTAAAATGTGGTGGAAGGTGAAAATAACACAATACCAAATTACCAAAAAAGTAAACTGATGTATAAATAAAGATGAATCAGTGGAATGTAAGCATAAATGATCAGACCCCTAACATCGAGGAACGAAGAAATTATGACAAACAAAAGGATGGAAACAAATTTCTATACAAAAAAGTATTTTAGAATTTGAAACTGATTGCCCTTACTGAAGAACTTCGATTTCTTCCAAAATTTCATTTTCTTCAGTTCTTTCAATATTTTTAAAATTTTAAATAATACATGGAAAGAAATCAAATTTCAATCGTTATAGTATGAAATATGCAAACAGACTGCTGCATTTTTTGTCTGCTATTCGCTTACACTGTCCCATTTGGATAATTTGAGAAAAAGATTAGTTGATTCAAAATTCGTATAAATTTAAAATCTTCCTGATGAGTATAATTCTAATGAAAGTGGAATAATTTCTCATTTTCATGTAGGGAAAAACGTGGTGAGAGGCAAAAGTCAAAGGGAACATAAGAAAATCAATAAATGCTAAAAACAGTTACAAAAAAATGAAATTTTACATTAGCTAGAAAATTATTCCATTCAAATTGACATCATTTGTTGTTGACCTTCAACTAAGCGAAAACTCAAGTTATTTGATCGAATAAATACAGATTATCAGAACTATCTGATCTAAGTACATACTTTTTGCCGCCAATGAAATATTATAGTAATTCAATTCAATGCAATTTATTACAAACAGCTCAAAAAGAAATCCAGCAGGCTAACTTTTTTTTTACATCATCCTATTGTTTAAAAACTAATATGAAATATTACAGTGATTAAATCCATTACAATTTATTTGTTACTTTAAAACCAAATTTGAAACACTTCGCTGATTCCTGATGTAAATGCAAAGTCCCACTTAAGATGAAAATACTTGAAAAAAATTGATAATAAACGAAAAAATCTCTTCGAATATATCTTTTACAACTGATTATTCCTCACTTTTTTTCTTAGTCAATTTAAAATATATCCATTGATAATATTTCATTTATATATAGTAACAATACTTCAATCAGATAGGAACATTGTCAAGAGGAAGATATATAGAAGTTGTGGGAATATGACGGTAAGTAAAGGCTAGCCGTATGACCTTATATCATCGAAAAGAGGGAAGAATAGAAGATGGAAAACTAGTTTGGAATAATATGATACAGCATCCTCATTGAACAATAAAAATGTGGAATCGATAAAGGAATGTATCTTTCCCTTTGCTTCATAAAGGAGACTACAACTGTTATGATAGTTTAAAGAAGCACATGAAAATGTATTTCTCTTTCGTTATGAAAACTATAAAAATACAAATGTATAATGATGAATTCTATTCATAAACAGGAAAAGAATAGAGATATATTGTTTTATCTGAAATACATCAATGAATATTAGGATAAAGAATTGGTTTAAAAAAAGTGAACAAGAAGCTAAATTATTGTTTAAAAACTTCCTATTGTTTGAAAACTAGTGATGAGATATTACAGTGATTAAATCCATTACAATTTATCTAATACTTTAAAGCCAAATAATAAATTAATTTGAAACACTTCGCCGATTCCTGATGTAAATGCAAGGTTCCACTTAAGATGAAAATAGTTTTCGAGAAAGTGTTCATCAGATGTGACAGGTCTCGACATTATCTTCTAGTTTTATAAGTTCCACATTTATTTTAGCAAAATGTTTACCTCGTACTGTCAACAAGGAAAATTAATGGCGCTTCAATAGTGCTGAAGATTTGCATAACTATATGATGGTCAAAAGAAAAGTCAACATACTTTGAATTGTTTGCCATAACTTAAAATTCTTGAATATTAATATTTGTTCAACCAATTTTTCTTTTTTTTTCATCCCTGCTACTGAAGAGCTTTAAAATTGAAGTTAACAGGATTCAACTGGAAATGAAAAATCTAGTCGAAATTACAGCAGAACTGTGTTAATCTTTTACGATCCGCAAATGAAGGAAATGGCTGTCATGATATTACATTGGCATTGATTCATTTAATTACCGATAATTTCTAGTCAGTTCGACAAATTAACATGCCAAACGGTTGCTAAAATTTGAGACCATTTCGAACAAAAGCTTCATCAAATTATTCTCGTTTTTAAAACATCTTTTTCATATGTTAGTTCTCTTGTTCTGAAATAAATTCAATCTGTTATACTAAAATTCTAAAATTCCACATTCAAAAAAATTTCAAAAGGACTATTGAAACCATCAAGCTCTTTCAACAGTAGAAAAGTGATTAAAAAATCTCGTATTATGTATGCCATTTTTAAACTGAAATTATGAAAATAAGTTCCTAAATTCCAAAATATCGGCAAGAGACTTTAAAAATCAAAGATCGTTTTTATCGACTGAAAATTAAAATGAACGACGGAGAGGAAGGAATTTCGCAAAGTTAAAATGCCGAGGGATAGAAAACGAAGTTGATTTAACCGCCTGCAGTAGCGACGTAAACTGCATGCTGAATGCAAACATTTAAAGAGACGTGTGATTTTCTTAATTACATTAGTTAGCTAAGCTATCATTCAATTACAGTTGTTGATACTTCAATTTGAAATTTTTGTTTTTTCCTCCTTTTTTTTCCACTTTGCAAATCTCCTATATTAATAGGATAAAAAGGAATGAATATGGGAAAAAAAGAATTTGAAGGACAGACAAATAATGACATTTTGATTATCTCTCTTTACATCTCTCTCATGAATTTAGTTCAAATCAAATTCGACCATATAACGAACAAACAAATAATAAGATCTTCAGTAAATATGTAAAAGAATACTCAGCCAATTAACAACCAACAGTAATGACAATAATAAGGAATCGACCATTAACAAATGAGGGAAGAAATGAAAACCCACAGTAAATGAATTCTTAACAAACCACCAAACTTCTCAGTATCATAATCTGCATGACAAACATATCTACGTACACACAGGCACACCATACATGTACCACACATACATGTATACGCACCCGTGCACATACACGCACACACGCATGGTAAGAGGTATATGAGAACAAAAGGCGGTGATAATGTTGTTTCATCATATGACAAACTAGTTCCATTTGCATGTGTCGGAAAAGATAATCTGCTGAATTCGGTTTTCGACGAGAGAGATTTATTCAGGATATAATGTTGTTTTTGCACAATATTACTAGTTAACAACAAAAAAGGTGTAAAATATAAACGTATATATTATGCGGAGAATTGGTAAGCAGTAATGAGTTATACAATAAGCAAGCAATATGATCAACTAGCAAATCCCTTGTCGTCTTCGATAATAGTTGACTGTCGTTTTGTTAATAGGTTGCGTAATGGTTGAGATATAAGAATTCGTCCTTCGTTGAGCTGGGGATATTTTACAGGAAATATTTCTGGCGAAAAGAAGGTATATTGCAGTCTGTTATTCAATGGTGGCAGATATGCGAAGAGGATTTTAGTTTGCTTGATTGTAAAGAACTAAACTGTTTCGGATTTTTCCTTATTATGTATGTAAGGATTAGGAAGTTTCGTAAACTCCATTGGGATTATCATGGAGGTATGGCTGCCTTTAGGCATTGTCCATTGTGTAGGTACAATGGATATCATTGTCCATGGTGTAGATACTGAGATGTCTATTATTCATTGTTAGCTTATATTCTCTTCATTGCTTTAATTTTACAAGATTTCATCACCTTGTCTGTTAAATATTGTGGGAATTTTGTTTGAACACGCTTTAATTTCGACAATCCGACAGCATATATCCTCTTCCTTGTCCCGTTTTTTTTCTCCTTTCATTTTCTCTCATTCTCAATAAAGTGACGTCGTATTCATTTATTATCCAACCAAAACCGGTCATTAATCTTCAACTAATACAATTTTACTAGAAGTGACACGAAATCAGATACTTGAAATCAAACTTTTCCTTAGTATATTTATCATCCTCTTATATTTCTCTGCAATATTCCCACTAATATACTGGCCATTTCACAATTCCCTTAATAATTTGTGAGATACTATCTCGAAATTACTGAAGATATATTTCTAGAATTACCTCGAGAGAGTAAGGATCAAAAGTACGAACTATTACAGTAATGATATAATTATAGGAAACAAATGTATGAATGAATCAATTTCATTCTGACAACTGGATGGGACGTTAATTTTGGTATATTATTGGTTTTATAGATGTAGTTACAGTACGGCTGCAAAGTTAAGCAAATATTCCAAACAGTTGTCACGTTTGTCTTGTTATGCCCAATTAATCAAATTTCTGAATCTAATACGAACATTTGGATGGAAGAAAAACCAATTTTAATAGGAAATAATTATACCCCAAGATAACGGTATAGGAAATTCAGATACCTCAAGAGAACTAAAGTTTTTGTTTAATTAGTGATAACTAGACAATGAGTAAATAGATATCAAACAAAAATATCACTGGACAACCTGTATGATCATACAAGTTGAGTCTAAAAATTTATAACAATGCTTCATGAATCTAAAGTAGGACCAAAGATTATATATCAGCATGGTTCGAAAAGTTTTTGATGAAATAAAAAAACGTAAGAGGATTTCCAAAACATTGATTAAATAAAAAACGTAAGAGGATTTCCAAAACATTGATTAAATTTCCGACAACATTTCTACAAAATTACTGCTATAAATCAAACTTTGTTTATCAAAATTTCGTTATTATCACAAATCGAACTTTATCTGCCTATCACAACTTTATTCAGGATGACTTCAAATAAAAGGATAATTTGGAAAAGGTGAAAAAAAAGGAAAAATTCAACTGTGTAAAACTATCCGAAAGATTCTCTCAAACAAATACCACCCAACAAATCATTTCCCTACTCATTACGTCTTCCGCCAAATAACTATTTACCATTTGAAAATAATGAAGATTAAAATCCAAATTTTATTGACAGAAGAAATGAAGGAAAACTGAAAGAGGATAGGAATGACGGGAAACAATAAAAAAATTAAAGACATTGGGGAAATTTGGTTTTGCAATGTTTATTTAATAATAACTGCATATAAGAAGGGATCCATTGTTCTCGTTGTTCTGCTTATTTGCTTAAAAAAGAGGAAAAGTCAAAAAGTCGAAGATATTCCCAAAAATTCTTAATGTATCATACCATCAAACTTTTGCAAAACGAATTTATTTTAAAAAGAAAAGTGAAATGGACTTAAAATAACTGGATAGCACATTTCAGTTTGATGTAAGAAAACCGCAACTAGAAAAAAAGTGATGGATCAAATTTCATCTATTTTTTTTTACTTTCAATTTTTTTTTTTTACTTTTTTCTTTCAAACATGTTTTCCGAAAATTCTGAACCTCATTTCAAGAAAATAATGAATTGTACGATGAATTTCGCTAATCAATTAAAAGATAATTTAGAAATAATGTTCACTCATCAACTGAAATAATAGAGAAAGCGAGAGATGACAAATAAATTCATGGATGACCAAATATTTAATTGATTAAAAAATTTTGCAAGATATATTTTACAAACCTCGTCCTTTTGTTAGCGCAATGAAGAAGCGGAAGAGCGAAATGATATTCACAAAATTACATCTCTCACGGTGTGCTGCGTTCATGCAGTGAGACCGATATACGATTTCCAATTTCTATTTGACGGGTAACATCCATATTAGCGCAATCCAACATTTCAATTTACGTAAATTTTAGCTTAAATAATTCCTTTTAACAAAGTCAGAAAAAAATTTGCAAATATTCAAAAAAGAAAAACAGCATGGAAATCATTCCGTATATTCGATTTCTCCACAACACAAAAGCAAAATTAAAACCGCTTGAAAATCATAAAATGTAGTATGCAACTAATTGTCCCACCATCACATCAAAAACGACACACCAAGATACCACGATGACATTCTAATTTCATTTCATATTGAGCTATTAGATATACTGTTGACGCAATTTAGTAAGAGGGGAAAAAAAGAAAAAATTTTGAAAATCGGCTGGTTGATTAACCATCATTTTTATATTGTCGGATATAATTTTTACACCATGTCCTCATCTTCTCAGTTCCGTCCCTCACCTCTCATATAATCTCGCTCTTCTCACATTTATAAATAAGTGAAGATTGCAAAAATAGTAAGAATCAAGTAAGATAAGTCGACTTACATCGATAATAATATCAATATGCTATACGTAATTTTATTGAATTTACATTGCAGCAAGGCAAGGTCAATATTGTAGTAGATATAAACAGACAGAACACAAAACAGGATGAGCCTACACTTTACATGTAAATCAATAGATGTTGTAAACATAAACCATTGCTGTAAAAATAAAATGCTACCTTACATAATTTCGCTTCTCAATATGTATTTTCCAACACTAGCTTACACTCTCAAAATTTGAATATACAATATAATGTATACTTAATTATACATATATATATATATATACATATAACATTTATATTTATATTTACATATACATTATGTATATATATATACATATATATACAATGTATATATAAATTATGTACATAATATATATAACATAATGTAATATATAATATATATAACATAATGTACATAATATATATAAATAATGGAAGCTCAAAATTTCACAACGAACAAAAGCATAATTTTTCTTTCCACATGAATGAGAATTTTTCAAGCAGTTTTGAACAGTCGTAATTTGTTATTAAGACAGTCCATACCTTAACAATAAATTACGATTGCTCGATAAGTTCTTGATGTTATTAAACGCTTAAAGCACTTCGAGTTTTCCAGTGCTTCTTCCATCAAGCACCTAAAAAGTCCAATAAGTGCACACACACTTTAATAAAACAAGGAAAAAGAAAACGTTAGGAAAAAAACTAGAAATCAAGACATACACACCATGTACATTCACACAGAAAATCATTTCGAAAATTGGTAGAAATCATATCCAATTTCAAATTGTATATCTTTATAAAGTGTATACTTATGTGACAAATGGAAAATCTACGAATTAATCAAAACAGATGGATTCCTCCGAAGGAATTCACACTGTTTTAAATGCACTTATGTTTGCTTTTCAGCATAGTTTAGACTGAAATATGTAGGAATTACAGATATTTCATGGTGAAATTTAGAATCAAATAATTTTATAAAGATCTTTAATCGAATAACCAAATTATATTCCAGGTAACAATGTTTAAATCAACTGCCAATTTATAAAGAATTGGAACAACCATGAAAAACTCACACCGATTCACTCAAATCATTCGCTTAACAGCGCGCTTCGATTCGGTTCAACTCAGTACTACCATCTATGCATCATCAAGCCCTTATTAAACGACCTTAATCAAATTCCTACCAAAATTTCCTTATGAACAGAACGAAGAACAACCCAGTGATCAAGTTTATCGTGATATCTCTAATTGTTTTGCAACGTATACAAAAATTAAATCATCATTTAGTAAAACCTTTCCCAAAGTCTGTGTCATTCGTCAAAAAACTTGCATGGCAATGTATTATTTGGTGCCATGAGCCGAGAGATGTCTACCAACGCAACCAGCAAAGCAAAACTGGACGACAAAATCAAAGGCATAGATCTGACGCCATCTGCCAAGAAAAGAATAAGTCAACAGTATGAGGTCCAAGAAAAGAATTATCGAAGAAAGAAACTGAACTTTGGTACACTCGAACCAATCAACGAAAAATGGTTGGAAAATATTCAGGAATTCGTAACCCTGCAAAAAAGAAAAAATGCGAAGAGTGTCGAAGAAAGAATGCGAGGATGAACATATTGTCGCGTACAGACGCGAAGTTCCGTGGTAAAGGAAAATATAAAGAATAATAAGTGAATGTGTAGTGATGTACTAATATGCATGTACTAAGTTGGATTGTGACTAAGATTAAAATCATCCAAAGCCTTTTCTATATGAGTAGGGCGCTATCACTACATAGAATTATGCATGTGCTCAATGTTTAACAATATACCCTAAGCGTCCTACACCTTTACGCTAACAAAGAGCTTTACCAATGTACACCAATAAGGAGCGCTTTATCAGCATGAACTAACAAAGGCGCTAATCCTTGTAATCATAAAACCAATCTTTGAAGGATGTACATATAAACCCTGCAGATAGAAGGAGGACATTCTTCCTTTTTCTTATTCGCCAAATTGATGTTCTCGAAATTCATCTTGCGGCGTTTTTGGAACTAGCTTAAAGTGTTGTGTTTGTAATTCCTAATTATTATGCTACGCTAACATTGTTGGTTTATCTATTAGTTCAAGTATCCAATTTTGAGGTAGAAGTAAAGAAAAATTTGCAGTTCTGTGTCACGTTGCGCAGGATACTTCCAAAAATACAAAAATTTTCCATCTTAGGTATTTTAAAATGAATAAAGGACGAAAGAGATGCTATTATAACTCTATGTACAATAATGATTACGAATTAGCACTATTTCAGCGCCTGAGCCAAGACTAAATAAAAAACTAACCCGACAACAAGTGTCATCCCAAACAGCTTGTGAGACAACAGTAAATTTACTTCAATTGCCACTCCCAACATTCACTAGTGACGAAAAAACTGAAGAGAATTATAGAGCAGCTTTTATGCTACAGTGCATTTTCAAGCTGTACCAGATATTCCAAAATTGATTTTTCTATCTGAAAGAAGATGCTTCTTAAGCCACCAGAGACTATGATCCTGTTTCCAACGAACTATGACAACGAAACTTAGATTTTTAATTAAAAAATTTGGAGTATCATCTATTAAAAGAATCATTTTATAATGATTTACATTCCTTTAACAGAAGTGAACGAGAATAGAAAATTGAAGCGATTGGAAAAATACTTCGACAGTTAGAAGCTATGAGTGAGGATCTAGAACACTCTAGATTGCAGTGTTGGATATTAGATAACGTCGAAGGAACGAAAAAATGACTAGAAGTCTTTAGTGGTGAAAAGGAAATCAACGGAGTCTGAGCTAAACGAATCTCACGTAGCACTAGAAGAGAAGCTTCTGCTTTAGCTGAATCAGGCAGCTCAGAACAAATGGTTTATGAAGACTACAAATTTAAAGAAAATTCCCAAAGATAGTAAGACAAAAAGATCTTGTGTCTTATGTAATAAGGATTATTGGGACAATGAATTTAAACCTTATCCCAATCACAAACAACGAATGGAAAGTCTGAGAGAAAGATGCTTGCCTTAACTATCTTCAAACAAGGCATAGACAAATGATTGTGGGAGAAGGAAATATTTATGTATTCTATTGCAAAGGTCCTCATAATATTGCACTGCGCTATGTCAAATACAAGGATGGGTTCAGAAAGCAGGACCAATCAAAGGAAAAATGGATTCAACAACTATAACTAATTCAACCATTGAACGAAAATAGCAGAATCATCCTTGATTTTCGCTAAGCTCGAATCATCCCAATAAGAGGTCCCTGTATCCTGATTAGAATTATTAGCAATATTCATTGCAATATGGACAGCAGTTTGCAATAAAGTAATTGGATCTGAAAAACATAATAAACTTACGGTCAAATTTCAAATGTGCGCTACATTATATAAAAGATGATTCCAAACTACTAGTAAGAATTGTATAAAATTGAGCCAAAGAAATATGAAATTCTTATTTCGTTATATTTCAAGTAAGCACAACCCAGTTGATATGGCAACAAATGCACTTTCTCATGAAACTTTAAATTTAAGAACTGCGATGGGAAGGACCGCTATGGTTAAAAAAAGAAGGAATTGTTTGACCAAGGTGAGCAAGATCCCAAAAATTCCATTTTTCCAAAAAATTCTGGAAATTCCGAAAGATTTCAAAGGATTCATGAAGATTCCATCAGAGGATTCCATGAACAGAGAAAGAAAAACTATTGCGAAGGTCATCGTCAAATTCTTAAAAAAGGTTCTGAAACTGGCAAAAATGTAAAATACAAGAATTAAGATACTTTAGGACACACTGAAAGTTGGTCACAGTTGGTGCATTGGTTTATAGTGTCCATTTTACTGACTGCTATCGAGATGGAATTTAACCGATTTAATTCAGTCTGTTTTTTGCGTATTAAAACTTCCATGACAAATTCATAAGGGAACTCTCCTTACAATATCACTTAAATTTCCTTAAATTAAACCTTTCCTCAAATCCACAATATTTGCCACTTACTCTGGTTAATATTCTACAGACGTTTTTTCCTTCGAATGAACATTTAACAAGTATCATTATCAGAACTTTCTTCTGATAACTGTAATTCTCCGGAAGCAAAATTATTTTCAGCAATTCTCGTTCCAGTTAACTTTTTCCGTTTATTCATCAGAGCAGTGGTCGACCCTTTCCCGCTTTTCGCCGATTTTCCCACAACAGGCTTAATTGGTCGTTTCCTTTTCAGTTTTTTATTTGTTCTCATCTTCTGGAAATGGTTCATAACCTTTAGATGAGTTCCATTTCCTTCAACAACAATTTCACTAATGTCCATCTCCCGTCATTCCTCTGGGGTCCTTCAAAAATGTACTTTTTAATAAATGATAGTGCAGTGGATTACCAAATATCAAGATGAAATACCTCAAGAAACTTCTTTACCCTGATTCAACTCTCCCTATCAGCGACATTTTAATCGTAAATTGCTTAGAGTACTTCAGTATAAAAGCTACCTTCATTTCTGCAGCACAGTTATTTTCAGCACTTCCCAATAAAGGTTGATTTTGAGAGTCTGAAAAAAAAAATGAAGGTACCTTAAAATGAATCAAATTACATCCAAGAAATACAACGTTCTCTGAAGACGATATAGCGGAAGAAAAAAAAAAAACACACACACACGAAACGTGAAGGTATACGAAGAAAAAATGGACGAAAAATGCGAGTAAAAATTGAAAAGATGAAAATAAAAAAAAGGACGTGCAACCGAAATTCAAGCATACTTTTAATAGTAACTAAACGTTGTAGGGCAGCCTTGACTCGCGCTGTCAGAAATAAACGTTGATCTTGTTCAGATTTTTGCAAACGATGAGAAAATGATGTGATATGCATCTGGTACGACTGCCCACTTCCACCAGCTGCCGGATTCAAATACTCGTTCCACCTCAGCAATGAGTGATTTGTTTGCTAAAACTTCACTGTCATAGACTTAAGCTTATTAATTAAAACAAATGGATGAATAGCGAACAGAGGACAGTCTCTTTTTACTCAACCTAATATTCCAGAAGAGTGAAGGTGGATTGTCAGTAGAAAATGATCACATTTTTCAAGTAGGGTAAATCATGATGTGTATAATGGGTATAAAATTATGTTTAAAAAAATTACATAACCGTTAAAAATTAAAGCAGAAAAAGAAATTTTTTTATCGCTACCTTCTCCAGATGCTTCCTATCCCATCCCAACTTCTCCCAAACAAATGATTCCAACTCTTCGGTATTAATATTCCGCCATTTTGGCTTCTCCATTGAATTGTCAACCAAAGGTTTTGCATATGCGTTGAATACTTCACGAGAAGGGAACTAAAAGGTTTTTTTTTCGCACTTATTTCGAGTTAGACAAGTAACAGATTTGTTCTAACTTTGTCTCTCTCTCATAATTCGTTCATTTTCAAATCTCATTTACATAAATTCCATTGTTTCGTATGTAACTCCTCTACAAGTACCTCACCCTATTTCTTACTCTGAATAATGGCAAGCTTTATAATTCCCTAAAATCCAACTACCAGTCAATCCATCGAATCCCAATGGATACATCTTATAGCAGAAGTGACTGTCGAGGTGGATGACTCGTCTAGAAAACGAAATATTGCATAACCACCAGTATGTAGTTTAAGTGAAAACTACTATAAAATGAGAGTTATCAATTTGCTATCAATAAACGTTTCCATTAAAATAAGTATCGAAGAAACATACCGCCTCCAGGGTTTCAGTAGCGTTATTTTTCTCAATTAATCGTCTTAACTTCAACCGTCGTGTGTTCTCCATGGATTTCTTTTTCTGCATATCCTGCTCATTGTTAGAACCACAACTTGGTGGCAAATCATTCCAACTACCATGGCGATTTAACCACGCCGAAATGCGATGTAAGTTTTCAAAAGCCTGCAATAGTTCGAAAAAATATGGCAAAAAAAAAATGAAACCAGCTTCATTGACTTTGCATCTTTACAAATATTTCGCATAAATATGTAAAGGTAAAATTCCAAAATAGTATGTACGACAACAGTCATAAGCATCGGAAGAAAAAAATTCAAAGAACCACAGCACAAAACCTGTTCAGAAGGTTCAGTATCTACTTGTCGCGAAACAGTGGCAAACTCTGAAATCAGTTCCAATGCTGCAACGACTCCAACACCTCCTAAACCGCTGGTATAATCCCCACCGGACAGTAAAGCTATTTGCACTGCTTCCCAACGTGACAAGCCTAGAATTACATACACTGAAATCAGACTTACGCAACAAAGCAGGATGCAATTTGTTTGAACCACGTGAACAATTAAAATGAGCTCCAAACCATTATTTATATTTCTGGTCAAACGATGGAAATTATCTAATTGATTATGAATTCACCTAATTGATTATGAATAGTTTCCATAGAGTACATTTGTAACCTTCGCTTTTGATTGAACATATTTTTGTAAACCATAGCGGCTCCAAATGACCAAACATCGGAATCATCGCTGATAATTCCCTATGAAAAAGCATTCTATTTTTAATAATAATTTCTTCATCAGGATGGTTCGATTACAAGATTCGTGCTCTAAAAGAGCTGGAATTACAAGAGGTCTTTTTAAATGCGTTTTACAATGGTATTTGTTAAAATCGTTCCATTCTAACAGGCTCTTGTTACATTGTGATGGTGCTTTTGCTATTTGTCAGATGAAGCATACTTTTAAGTCAGTAGTTAGAGGTGAGGTTGCAACATCCGAAAAATGCTAATGTAGTTATTGAAAAAAGAAACATACATGAACGAGACCCAGTCTTTCAAGTTCACAACATTGAGCTTCGGCTTCACCGGGAGCAATGACGTACGGTATCCCGCAAATACGCAAAAGATCCTGAAAAAAGAAAATTCGAATTCCCGAAAAACTTAACTTGGTGTGATAAGAAGCAAATTATTCAAGTTACACAAACTAAGAAGTGAACGAAAAACCTGACAATCCTTATAAACTCCTTCTTCTCGTGTCGAAGCAAAAATGTCTGCATCATCGACTGGATTAATGCGTATCGACGAACTTTGAGCTACCGATTCTTCTTGTGCGTTGTCAACATTTCTGTTCTAAAATATCTTCAGTAACTACCTGTAGTGATTGCAATTAATGTTATGACAATTTGCTAAATTAAAGTAGCTTACATCATAGCGAAGAAAAGAAAGACTCACTGATAAAATTCTATGTAATTACCTGATAACTACAAATGCAGGAATAAAAGAAAGGAGTATCAAAAGAAGCATTAAAAAAGTAATAAAAATAAAAGGAAAGAACTGAAAAAAAAAGTAAATAAAAATAGAGGGAAAAAATAAAAACAGAAAAAAATAAAAACAGCAAAAAATAAGAACAGAACTAAAGAACTGAAAATTCCACAACGAATCCTTTCTTACCTTTTCACCGATGCATTCCTTATCGTTAATGAGACATTCCTTTGGTGCAGATTCTGTCGAATCTTTGACACTTTTCGTACTAGATGAAGGGTCATCGACTTTCTCGGAAAAATGTTCTGATAATTCAGAAAGCACTTCAACAAAGTCATCACTGGTTTCGCTTGACAATGACCATGTATCGTGGTGTAAATCTAAAAGATTGGCAAACTCAATTCACATTGAAAGAAATATAGACAGGCAGTGAGCTATAGACAATAAAGAACTATTTTGTATGCCTGACAAGTTTTAGAAAAAAAACACGTAGAAACTACCCATACCCAGAAACCATCATTATATACAAACATAATACATCAATGACCTGATACTTTCTGAAACAAGCTTTTATAAAATTTTTTCAAAGTCATCAAAGACCTTAAACAATTACTTATGAAAAAATAAGAGAATAAGTTAACAAATTAAAGAGATACCTTTGCTCCTTTCAGTGAATGTTGTGCGTAAACGCTCGATCATATCTCCTTTTGATTCATGATTGTAGCCATGCACAGTCATTTGGAAATTGCTGCATTTCTGGGCTGAATTTTGAACAAGTGAAGCATATATGGCCTAAATGTACCGGTCATCCGTTTTTATTAATTCAGATCTCCGACAGATTAAAAGATTAATACTAAAATTAGATCTATTTATTCTCAAACCTGCTGCAAGGCGTCATCATTATCGTAATCATCATCATCAGGGAAACCTCCAACTTTGAGATCATCCGAATTATCAGCCTGAAAGTGACTTTACAAGAAAAACCTCCAGAATTTGATTTATGACTTTGTTCTACGAAATAATTTCTCTTTAAATGAACATATGGCCATATAAGCAATACCGAAATGCAAAAAGTCTTGCGTTTGAAATTTCTCTTTTCCCATAGCACTATTACTGCAATTAAAACAAGTATTTCAGTATTGTGAAAAAGTTGTTTTTTCAGCATTATGAAAAAAAGTGAGAATCTTACTATTCATCTTCTAAAGCAAGATCGAATTTGGCAGAAAATCAACAGAATGATAAAAATAAAAGTTTAATATTCAGAAAACAGATAAGAGAAGTAAATTTATGCACCCCATGAGAAAAAACACTCTCTTCGCATTTTCATCCTTTTCCACTTTAATTTTTTCTAGGAATGCTGGCCAAGCCAGTGAGTCCATTAAAACTTTCTTCTTCACCTTTTTTTCTTCATCAATCTGAAAACATTCGATATTTTGAGCTTATTTCTGAAGAATACATTCAATTACAAGTTTATTGACCTAACAGATTATACAAAACATTATGTTAGCAATGATAATGAACTAAAACTAATTAACTCTTGAAATGCTGCCATAGGAATATGGTCAAGCTTGAACTTCAATTAAAACTTGTCGGAGAGTTCTGCTACCGCTGTGCTTTAAAGCCTCAATGTTGTCAGGAGTAAAATAATGAGAATTGAAGGTCTTGCATACACTTCGAGTATATTTGCCCACTGATACTCAAAGAAAACTGCTCAAGATATTTTCAGTAAGCATACTATTTGCACTTCGTTGTCATCTGTTATTATATGCACTCTGTCCAAGCCTTCCATTGCTGCCAATTTGATATTGCTACTCGAGGAACTTTGTTGCCCATCCTCCGAGAATACCCTTAGTTTCAAAGCTTCATCCTTTAACTTAAAAAAAGCGAAATATAAACTGAGCAAAGTTTTAACCACGTAAGGTAGAAAGGAAAAACTAGCGGTGACGCAATATGAAATGGATGGATGTAAGGTCAGGTCATTGTAGATATAAAAATTGCAATAATGGATATGTAAAATAAGCGTTATCAGTTTATTTTAGCAGAAGGATAAAATTCCGATTCTCTATTATCTTCTACAAAAAGAGGAATTTAAACAGAAAGGAATTACAAAAAAATTAAATTTCGGAACTAAAGGAAACTTGTACCAACTGGAGCTGCTCATTTATCTGATTTCTTTTCAGCAGTCTGTCAATTTGCAAATTACTAAAAGCTTTTGAGTCGTCCGGAACCTGAAATCCCATTTTTTCAAAGGTAGTGAAAAATTCAGTCACTGCAAAACTTTATAGGAATTTTAAACAAAATTGTTTCACCTCTCTCAATTTGAGACCTCTAACTTTATCCCGGATAGCTAACAAATAATCAACGCGCTCATCGCGAGTAGTTAGGTTTTCAAACTCTATTTGATCGAATTCAGATGACCGTGATGAGTCAAAAGATGAATATGTCGTCACAGTTTCCTCATCCAACGTATTTTTATATTTTCTGGAATTGATTTTGATGAATTTTACCCTTCCTTTCTTTTTTCTATTTAAAAAGATAAAACAGTGCTTTTCCTTAATACCACAAGTAGAATTTTCGATTATGTGATTTGCAAATGAGTCCCAAGGTTTACGTTATGTGCAGGTTAATTTTTTGTTTAAATCCAAGTAAATGAATTCTTACCAAGTGATTACGGGCCAAAAAGAAGACAGGAAAGTCGTTAAAAATCGAAATTAACATCACTTACTGCTCTTTCCATCTTTTTTACTTTAGTGTAGCACTCTAGATAACTTAAAGGAAGATGGAGGAACCTATTAGGAAATTCACGAAGCAGTTATCAAATACATTCAAAAGAGAATAGACGGTCGCATCCTATAAACTGCCTTAAGAGAACTTCGTAAAAATTTACGAATAAATTTATCTTTATATATACCAAATACTTGGATCCTAAAGATTCGAACATCATTAAGACTCAAGTATTTGGTACATATAAAGTCTTTATTTATTTTGGTTTTTTAACGAAATAATATCCTGAAGACTATTCTAACGAACATTTCGTCCTTTGATGTTGATGGAATCGACGCATCGAACAAATCAACATCTCGGCGTTTTTTTGTTTGTGAAACAAATACCTCGCTTAATTCATTAACTCGTTGTTCACCACCGTCTGAAAAAATATTCCAAATAAGCGACTTATATGTTTGCAAAGGGAAAGGTTTTTTTTCTTACAAAGAAAAAAAGTGAAAACTTAGAAATCATCCATGGAATGTTAAAGGTGCTAAGTTGTGATTTTGAATGATTTCCTTTCCCAAACCCCAACAATCAATCCATTGATTCCTAATCTTCCTCAGTACTTTGACAGAGCAATCATTCAAAAACTGTTAACTCATAGCAATACTATTGCTTATTGTTATTAATATTTTTGCTCCTGTTTAAGACTTATCTATTAGTTAAATTAGATAAGGACTAGATGACATCAGAATAATATATAAAATACAAACTACACTCTACATCTTCCCTTTCCCGATGTTAAAGTTCTTTTAGATAAGAAAAAGTACAGACGTAGCTGTGAGGAGGCTAGCTGCTGTAGGACATGTTTCTGTGCTTTAGTCATCGTTAGTTCTTCCACATAACGTTTTACTTGTCGATCGCGCTAAAATCTTTTACCTGATATATAAGATATCCAACGACATTTAGTAGATCTGTCTATTTTATTACTGAATTCCCGTTTTCTAAAAAAACATTTTCTCAACCAAAAGGATTGTGAGTCATCCATCAAAAACCGATCCAGAGGAAGATATTGACTTAGCCATATTAATCTGACTATTCTGCCTTGAAGGAAATATAGTATCTAGAAACCTTAAAATTGCTTGAAAAAAAAGCCTCAGAAAGAACAAAATCTCAAATTTAAAAATATCTTCAATTGTCAAATTCATTATTTCCTTCGTGCAAATAAGTAATCTTCGAAGCTAAAATCTTCAAATATCCAGTAATAGTGAAAGAAATACCAGCAATTTCCTTTTGAATATGGGCACATTTGGGCCATCAAAAACAAACAGTGGCCTTATTTTGTAAAATAAAAGTTTCGCCAGACGTCGTAGCACTAGTGACAAATGTGGATATCTGGCATTATGCTGATGTTCCGAGTAACCATAGGCTGCTTGATGAAGCCAGATTGAAATATCTATAATGAGTAGAAAATTTCAGTGTAATAATGATAATAAGGAATTGATATATTCTGAGGCAATTTTAGGGTATTCCATTTTATTCCCACAAAAATTTTCATCAAAACAGTCTAAAATACGGAGTAGTCCATATTATCTAGAGTATCTAAATACGAATTACGTTAGTGCAAGCTCTACACAAAAATGAATATCTTTATTGTCAAATAACGCGAGAGTGCTCGCGCCATCCAAAGTATTTGACGTTATTTACGTCCAAAGCATAGCAATCAATCTCTAATGTCTTTCTTGTTCACGATAATTTGAAATAATCTGCAAATTTCGCAAAAGCTCATAGAAATAAAAATAAAGGACAAACCAACTGCAAGACGTTTTCCTTCGAGGGATTCCAAGATTACCGGCTCAGCTACAGGTTCCAGTACCTGCCATAATCCCTGTATACCCATACCTGTAATGTTCACTTTAACATCGATACAAAAGTAACATTCGTTGAAATCGAAAACTATTCTTAAATGAAGTATAATTTAAAGCTCAAACAATTCCATCATTCGCTTTTCAGTGCTACCAAAAATTTCCAGTTATTCCTAATGATTTTACTTTGCAGCTATCATAAACATTCCATAGATACCATCAGTTCCTGCAACTCTTACTTGCTCTCAATCTCTGCTACCATGCACCATTGTTAATATTATCAGCCTTATCTTTTCGGTTTTCCAATTAATTTTCAATCTTCAGTATCACATTACCTCTTGAATCCTTCCAATCACACTCAAATTTTCGCATATCTATTATCTTACAAATACCAGCAATCTCTATTTTCTCTATTTTCATCCCTCAGCAATCTCTACTTTCTCTGTTTTCATCCCTTAGTACCCTATCTCAAAAATACCATCGATTCTATACGACCTCAAAATACCACCGATCACTTCCAGTGGTATACTATCTCATAAATAAATACCTTTAATCTCTACAATATCTTAAAATTGGGCTCACCCACGACACGACTTAACTGCCCAACGCTATTCATTAAGCAGTAAGCAATGAAACCAAGGTGTGCAAAACTACTTGGAAGACTATAGAAGTTTTTTCCGACCAGGCAGCAATGAAAACCTCAGTCTCAACAGTATACCGACTGAGAAACTTCCGAAAAATTTCGAATAATCTGTAGGGTTTCCTTTCCCTACCAGAGTCTGAAGCTTTAAAATTAGTTTTAAATCTCATAAATCTATTTCAAAAAACTTGAATAAAACTCTCCGTCAGAAAAACACTTCCGAAAAATCCACTTTGATTGGTATGAAAATGGCTGCTGTATGCTTCGATTATCATTCTCCTGTTTTCTCGTTTCCGCGATCTGTCGAATTTAATTTTGTTCTTCTTCCGAACACTTTTAAACTCTCCTTACACTATGTTTGAGTCTGTAATACGATGGATATCAAATATCTCAAATATCGTTCGTCTTTCTTAAAAAAATTTCGGTTTTTCAATTTTTTTCGTGCTTTTTTTTCTAATTTGATCACTTTCTTTTTAGCTTTCAGTTTTCTTGCCCGTGTTTTCTCTTATAACATCCATTTCGTTTTGTTTTTTTTCAAATTTCACTCAGATTTTTTCCTCATTCATCCTTTCACAAGCTGTTCTGCCCTTTTCTGAAGAAACATTCAAGTGCTATGCTTATACCAGTTATAGCTTTTCTGTTCTTTCCTGAAATATGACATCTGTTTCATTTCCAGTTTCTAGTCAATGTCACATCTATTTCCTTGTCATTTTCATCTACACATCCAGTCACTAGCCATTTTACAAATGCTTTTGACCTCTTCCCTTTCAGAATTTTGTAAACAATGTATCAGGTCAAAGTGTTATCTTTCTCGTTCTTTTTTGCTCTTGGATTATTTTTTTGACTTTCTACCTATCACGTGTTATGGGACCTACTGCTGCACTTATTTTAACATACATAGCTCGAAAATGTGGATGGAAATGCGTCCTGAAATTAGGTTAGTTTTATGTGATTGTCAAATCCGTAAACATTTTATCTTGTAGGAATTTCACTTTTACTTATGCAGACTTCACCTGTACGTACTGCACTTAAAATCTTAAAATCTCGTATAAATGGATTTCAGGTTTTAACCTGCAATTAGCGGTTCTTTTATTCGACTGTCTTACTCTTTACTTTGAAAAAATTTTTTCCCACATGTAAGTTTTGCTCCAAACACTAAAGCGTATCGAAGGATGGAATGAACATTGAATCTCAAAACGTTTCATTCTCCACAAACTGTAAACGTCAAATTCCTTAGTGGTAATTAATAAGTAAGACGCATAAGTTTAGTTTTATTCTTCACACTTTTTTTTTAATTTTAAGATTCTCTTTCCCGTTCTTCACCACTTATCTTTTAAGGCTCATTATCGATCTCTTTGATAGCGGGAAAGGTAATGTTTCGCCATTTCATATTTATATGCGAAGATTATACTATTTTTTGTAATGATGGCTATCTTATCTTTGCCTACTGGCGACATATCAAATTGGTGGATCTTCATACGCGAGGGTTTGTTTTCTGAAGTATTATTCTTCCACTAGGCTTTATTAAGTTTGAACTAGGCCTGCTAGATTCAAATTTAATCAAACTTACTTTGTTTCACAAACATATATTTATGTTTATTTATACAATTCTGTCTTTAGCGAATGATCAAATGCAGTAAATAATTAACCTTTTTTTTTTCTTCTCCATTATTAAGAAAAATTGAAACATTCAAAATCCTATCCAAATTTCGGAATTCTAGCTTGAAAGGTCGTTTGTGTTTGACGTTGAATGGATTACGTATTCACATATACAATCGTTTGGAAGCATATCGGAAGTTAAAGAAAGATCCTAAATTTGAAAAACTTTTCACGACAATTTCACAACAACAGTATACCGATGAAATTTTGCATTCAAATGAAGGTGTTGTCACCTCTTATCACCGTTATTATTGCTGTTGAAAAACTAATTTTCATATGTAATTTATTTTGAGAAATCTCTTAATAATTTAGGAAAATTAGACTGTTATATCTGACACATTCACGAAAAAGTGAAAAAGTTGTTAGTTTAACGTAAAATACTACGTATCATTTTCTGTAGCACGCAATTTGTAGTTTTAAGTGGAATTTAACTGCTTAACTTAATCAATTAATTGTTAATTTATTTAATGTAATGAAGAAGGGATGGAAAAATAAATCCAGTAAAAAGTAAATCCTTTTCATTGTTTCCTCTCTCCGTGATAAATACGTCATTTGGCTTTTGAAATTGGATGCAATTTGGGAATGAAGTCAGTTTTTTTTTTTTAGAATTTAGTGTTTGAAATTTGAAGATTGAAGCTTTGAGGTTGGAGTTTGAAAGGTCAATGAAAAATTCTGTTAAAAAATTTGCCAAATTATGTTAATGAAATTGGTTAAATTTATCCTTTTCTTCAATGAGATCTTAAACTTCTGTTTCTGCTTTGACTACGGTTTGTAAGTTCGAGAATGATACTTTTTGCAGAATCCACCAGTGAAAATCGATATCGAGTACTTTTTCAAATACATATAACACAGTCCATGCATATAACAAGTGCCAGAAAAAAAGTTTTATGGAGCAGAATGAAATTGATAAAACAAAATAATTAAGAAGGAGTAAAGGATGACAAGTTAGGAAGTGATCAGTTGACAATCAAATATATTTAAGAAACAATAATGGAGAATGATAAATACCTACTGTTCCAGGGAAGAATGATAAATTTCTGAAAAACTTTTGGGCGTTTGTTGGTACAATACGTATGTCTAGCAGAAATGTTCACGTATATGTTGGAAATCGTTTGCTACCCACTACGCTTGTCATTTTTTCACATAAAACGTTATGTAAGCTAACTGTTGGTTTTAATTTTGCATTATTTCAGAAGGGCTACACAGAATTACTATATTCCTTTAAATATGCATAAGTTTTAACGTTCGTCAAGATCCACGTTATAACAACTGAGTCATACATAGCAATAAACGGAAGTCTAACGTATGCATATGGTAACACGGAGCATTTCTTTCAAATATTGAAGCATCCTTAAATGTGTAGTTGCCAAATGACCAGAAACATTTGAATTTAATGTTGCAATTGACTATTTGGAATCTGATTCCATCCTGCGATGGTTATTTGGAATTTGATTCCATCTCAGAATTGATTGTTTGGGATCTGATTTGTTTGGAATCTGATTCCCATTCTGGCGACCATCGTTTGCTGCCCCATAATATTCGATTTTGAAAAGAGAAATGCTTTTTGAAATAAGTTGATTTTGTTAGTTTTATTAATAAAATTGCTAAAATAAAATTGCTAGCTAAAACTAGCTACTAAGTTCGAACTACATCATTTATTCCTCAGTCAGTACCGAAGGAGAATAATGGAACAAAAAATGCCATTTTTCAAATGAGAAGTAGAAATCTCATCATTTTTTACATTCATTCATGGAAATTATTGCGCTAATCTCGCAAACATTTGTCCTGTGTTAGTTATTTCACTCCAAGTTATATCAGAGGAAAATGTTCAGGTGGTTTGGAAAAAATGTCCTCGTTTAGGGAAAAAATTCTTTTTCCGTCACACTAAGAAGAGAACGGAAATTTATAGTTACTGGACGACTGGAACAAGTGAGCAATGCTATGTTATTGGTATGTTCGATTAGTGGTTCAAACTTTTCAATTTCATTAAACAACAATGAGGAATATGATGAGACTGATCCACGGAATCTGTGGAAGCGTCACAACGCACCTCGAACAATGGGAAGTGGTTTCAAAGTTCTTCAGAATGCTACACTGAAAGCTGTTTATCGCCAGAGTATCTTTGGTATTATCGAGTTTTATTTCAAGAACTAAGTTTTTCAAATTTTTCGTAAATTAATTGGCAAGATGGAATGATTATAGCATTGCAATGAAACGACCACATTGATTTCACTATTTTGAAGTACATCAGGAATATTTGTCTTTTAAAATTTGCCAGAAATAGTTTGTATCCGATATGCAATTCCCGTTTCTAAACAATAACTATTAAACTTGGTTTAAATTTGACAAAAGGCATGGAGACTTTTTTCTCTTTTAATGATATCCAACAAATTTAAATGGAAGTAATATCATTCACTTCGTACAGACAACAAAGTAAACACAAAGCATGAAAATCAAAACGATCTGTTTTAACTGCAATAAAAAATTGTTTTTCTTTTTTAAGCGGTTATCAAGCTTAAATCAAACTGATTCGAACTTAAAATTACGATTTGAAAGTGAATATGCACAAATGAACGATGAAATGAAGTGTTGTAATTTTAAGCTTTAAAACTGAAACAACATTATTTGGTTTTTTTTTCATGCATTTTCCGGCAGAATATTTAATTTAAACAGCATTACATCTATTCAATAGCATATTTAAATTAGAAGAAAACGAAAATCCGAATTTATTGAAAGCAGGTTGATAAACTTAGAAGTTACTAGTGACAAGTATTTTAGTTGATCCATCATCAGAACCAATTTGCGACTTGAATGCTGATTTTGGCGAAAATGTCGCCATTGCATATGGTCCATGGGCTGAAGCATGTCGGGTTGCCTTCGTCAGCTACTTTTTTCCGGCTGATTTCACTGACGCTACACCCACGTACGTTTGGAAGAAACAATTTCTTCAATTTGATGCTGATTCCATCTCTGGAGATGATTTTAAAGAAGATAATTAATTATTAGACATTAGTTAGTAATTGATATCCGTCAAGATAAGATTTGTGTAAAAGATAATATTTTCACATGCCGAATAAACATGATCTCACAACGCGCTTTACCTGCTTATTTCTCTTATCTCTTTTGTCATTTGAATGATACACATATTATACATTAGTTAGCTTTAGTAAAATTCCAGCTTTACTATCAAATCTAAATATTGTCCAATTTAAACCATTCTCAGTAAATTGCCGGAGAGTGATGAGCGTAAAATACCACTGATAATGGATATTACGCTAGCGATGAACGGTAGGACAACGATAAATTTGTGGTTCATGCGACATGACGAACTGAATACTGTGGCTGTTATCATCAAAAACGGATTATCAATAAAAGTATGGGATTAGTACTGCATTTCTAGGATACTAATCTAATCATCCCTATCAGAGTATTTTTCCAGGTATCTAAAGTAAGCCATGGTACATGTTAACTAGATTTGATCAGTTGATCGAAAATCAAATGATCAAACAGGATGATTTATGAGCTGACATCGTGGATGATTCCTAAGAAGTCTTTTGCTTAGCAATTTGAAATCCGCTGAAGTTCTAAGCTAATTGAAATTCCAAGCCATCAATAACTCTGGTAATTAAGACTAAAAGTTTCGCTTTTCTTTCAATATTTGCAAATTAAAGGTAGAAAACCCGTTGGTGATTGCCGAAGAAGGATACAAAACGACGATGCGATTCATCATGAAAGATGTACAATTTCTGCCAACTTCTGGATTCCGGAAATTGATTTCATATGAGGAATTGATCATGGAGTGTAATGTATTCGTTCCAAAACAATACGGACAGCTTCAAAAATGTGAAATTTTAATGAAAATGAATCGAGTTACAATGTGGTGCGCTTGGGACCACATTGCCTTCATGCAGGTATTCTTCCAATTTTCCGGTCTAACTTATATTCATTCACTCATTATACTTCAGTTCTTTGTAACTCAAGGATTTGAATCGAACTGATGAATCCTATGTGTATCCTCATAATAATGAATATCGCAGGACTTTGTAAGCGAAGTTTCGGCAAATTATACGGAAGATTTGGCACAATTTGTGCCACAAATTTGGAACTATCGGATAGAATTTACTAACGCGAAATTCATTTTTGTTACCAACGATAAAAATTGGGTGGATGCAAGGTACGTATATCATTACCTACATCAGTAATATGCAACAACTATTAGTGAATGTCTCGCTTTCGAAAACAACGAACTTGCAATTACGATATCGATACAACAAATTAATAACAAAAACCAAAACGAAAAGATTAAATCACGCCTCGATATTCTCCAACCAACCGACCTGTCAAAACGCGTCCTTCGAAATGATTTGGCGCTCAGGATGGTCTGTTTCTCCGAGTGGGTGGGTGCTTGTACCGTTTATGATTACAAGAATTAGTTACCTCATGGAGCGCACATTGTATGGGTTAAGACAATATGGGCATATACAGCAAAGATGTCTGGCTTTCAACAAAGGGAATTATTGTTCCTTTGTTTCAATTCGCCATATCAGGGACACCTTCATATCTTTCTCTCTCCAAACTACACTGAGAGGTTGATCAACGGATATTTGTAGAAATTTGTCATTCAACTTCTACATTTGGTTAGCAACTATGTTAGCTACAAATATTCGGACTTTAGTGCTAGGAAGTCCAAAATACTTTTTAGATACGCAAAATGTATAGCTCATCTTGAGAAAACTTTTCAAATCGTTAGTTTTCAACTATTTTAAAGATGTTCAAAATTTTAAAACATGCTTTTGATGAATATTTTAGCAATCCATCGAATAACTTTCTGATTGCTCTTGTTGCGAAACGATTTACAATCAGTTACAATTTGAACAAGACTGAATTTTGTCCTCAAATTTGCCACTGTAAATCCGAAATGGTCGCCAGTGAAGCAGTTATTATCAAATTTCATATACCCGAACGAAGTACCTTATCGCCTGTAATACACACTCTTTATGATAATTCATTTCATTCCGTAAAACAATCAAGCATTCATATGCAAACAGCTCTTGATTTCGATGGGGTAAGTTTTATTAACTATCTGACCTTGCTATCACTCAAAATTTATTTTTTCTTATAGCCTGATCTAATCGTTTCTGACATTATCTTTTTAGATCACTGGAAGTTTAACTGCTAAAATGGTGGTTGAATGAAATTTCCTTAGTTATACTTTTAGAATGATTTGAATAAAGTAATACTTCCAGTAGTACTTTTAGAATGAATTGAATGAAGTTCCCTCAATAATATAGTAAATGTAATTTGAAACTATGAAAATCCCTCAATAATATAGTGAATGTAATTTGAAACTATGGAAATGTTTAAAACCTGATCAGATCCATTTGGGAAAATAAAATGCAAGCCAGTAATTATGTGGTTTTCCTTTTTCTTTTCCGCTTTTTGTTTTTGTTCTTTTTTCAAGAAATGCAACTATTATACTTTTTAGCTGTTTTCCATCTGAAGTTACTTTTGTAATTTTTGAAAGATTTTATTTTGAAATGTTTATTTTAGAGTTGGTTAGATTTTTTGCGAACCAGACAGATTACATTTACATATGATTATACGTGGCATCCCATATATCCTCCATATCAAAGTGATTTACCAGCACGAATTAAAATCACTAGAACCCGACATCCAGCACATCCATTTGAGCTGGAATCTGATTCTGCGCAAATAGAGGTAGTTGTTTCCTCGACATATCATTTAACCCAAGTATTCCTTGTTAACACTTCATTCTTTTATTTCATAAAATATTTTGAAAAATTATGTAATCTTGAAATGAGCAAGCATTAATGACTATTTCAGATCGCAATTCATTCACCTGAAATATTCATTTCCGGTTTTGCTTTATGGATTATCAAAAATTATATCAACGATTACTTCGGTTCTTATAGTCAGGTTTCGTATAATAGAGCTTTTTGAAATAAGCTTAATTCTTATGTTTGAAAAATCTCGAAATCAGTGCAATTGACAATGCTGCATGGGTATACTTGAAGAAAAGTTAAAGTTTCAAGGATATTTTTTTTCTTTCAAATTTGGTTCCAGAATTCTCAATTTTGAAAGACTAAGTAGAACCAGTGAATAGTTCTGTCCAGCAATAAAGGGATAAGTTATTCCAAATCTACTTTAACATGTTTCAAATTCTTATTTTTCTTACTTATCAGTATTTGATATGTCCATTGCCTTACTTAATGCTCACTACCTGAGAAATCTTTCGACAGAGAATGATTATATCATAAATTTGTATAAAATTGCAGCAGCAATCAGACATGGATTCTTACCATGCCCATGCATTACTTTCTAGAAGACTTTATGGACACGTGAAACACGAAATTGCGAAGTATCGACCGCTGAGTGTGAAATTAAGTATTCGAATCCAGGAGGCTCATGGACATTGCCTTATCCATACTGTCAAAACCGTGGGTGAAAATCCCGGTGATTCGTTGTTTGTCATTTTCTTTTTTTTTAACTTGCAAGTTTAATAGTTTTTCGTTGTCTCCCTTCAATTTCAATATTTAATGTATTGTTTCATTGTAGATACTTGTCCAATGATGAAAGTTGGCATTACGGTCATAGAAATAGTACAAGAAATCCGTGATTTACGATTTCAGGTTGGTAACTTAAGTCCATTAAGTTCAAAGATTTTCCTTTTTACCTATAGCATTTCCTGAAAGTATCCATTAAAAAAAAGTTTCCTGGTACGCAAACTTGTGAAAATTTGCAGAAAAAAGAAACTTTTTTTTGTTTAAAAGCTATGTTGACATATATCCTATTAATAACTATTTCAGATTATAATACTTTTTTTTCAAATTGTGTGAAATATTTCAGTGATTAATCCTACTTTACCATATTGTATCAAAAAAAGGAAAATCTTTCAATTTTAATAACTTTTTATTTAAATAAAGGATAGGGAAATTGAAGTTTTTAGGTGTTTATTGCTGGATTGCAAATAATCTTCCGGAAATCAGAATCACTGCAAACAGTACAAGAAGGTCTTCTGTCGATTGATCGGTTTGCCGTACGCATGAATTCGTTTTCGTCTGAAGTGCACATTCCATGGGATGCGGGTGCTGTTGAATATGCATGTGCATGGGAAATAATCATAGGCGAAATTGCAGCTAAAATTGATCCAACACAAGTAAATATTATTTAATTATGTCTTAAATTGATTGATTTAATTTATTTATCACTTTTTAAATAAGAAAATTTCATGATGACCCTTTGAATTCAATTGATTTAATCATATGATTTTCAAAATTCCCTTTTAAATGAATAGCTTTTGCGTAGGATCAAGAAATAATATCGGTCATATCACTAAATCATTATAAAGTAGCGGCTAAAATTAGGACAATCGGGAAAACCAGAACGTACGGTTTTCTTGAATTACAAAATAGTAACCTATTAAAAAAAATCTCTGTAATAAAGCGTGAGCTTGCGTGGTTAAATGTCTGTGCTCCAAATCGTCTTTCTGAATATTAAAATGAATTCTGTAAAATTAAAATGTCTTCCGTTGCAGTTAGTATGTCTTATTCAAATGTTGGAGGGTTTTTTGCTATTAGCGATAGCAGCTGATGAAGAACTTTTGGTACCAGAAATGTTAGTTTGCATACTTCCCACATTTCTCTTTATATCTTTTCTTTTCATATTTTTTTATTTCATAAACTGAGCTTTTCAATAAAATAAATAAATAAATTTTCAAAGACAAAAGAAAAAACTTCAGAAGTTACGGAACTTGGGAGATAATCTCTTGAAAGTAAATTATAAATAAATGATTACTGTTGCTATGGCCATAATTTCCATCCTAAAATTTACAATGTTAATTAAATAGTATGTCCCTACTTTAAAAGAGCTAGTTCAGGTTGTTCAGTAGTTTAAGATGAGCTCAGTTAGATCATTACTAAACGAGAAATATTGTCCATTATGATCTTTTGAAATGAAAAATTTGAAACTCCGTCATTCCGACCTTTATTAACAAAAATACTGGAACAATGAAGTTTCAAACGATGAAACAAATCTTTTTTTGCTTTTACTGTACATTTACGACTCCTTCTCGAGCTATGTTTAAAATCGCCCAATCTCTCCGTCACATCCAAATATTTTTTCATATCCCTTAATGATCACCTCATTGATAACTGCAATTGTCTTTTAAACATCGTTTATTTCTTTTTTTCGTATGATTTGAATTGAGAAAACAAAGATCAACCTTAATTATTCCTTTAAAACTAGTCTGATATTTTCTGTCTCCAAGTTCCTGAATTAACTCCAATCATCCGAAAAAACTCTTCCGGAGTACATTAAGCATTTGGAACATTTCCCTAACGATTTCCTATAGTATCTAATGCAGTGAATGTTACATATTAGGCAGTATTTTCATCATCGACCAACACAACTCATTGCAAAAGTCAGTGAACAATTCACTAAAAATATATTTAGAGGGAGCAAAAAAGAGTTGACCAATTCAGTCACTTTCCCTTTTCTGTTTTAATCATTAGCCATGCCTTAATTAATTACATGTGCGAAACATTATTGCATGAAATTCTTTACGTGTATGCTTCAACGTGTAGATGTGATAACAAAACATAGTAATCTATGAATTGTTCATACAACTATTGAAACTGCTAGAAGTAGTAGGAACGAGAAAGACGTTATTGTCCCATTCAAAATATTTCCATATTCATCTAATTACAGGTATGACATATGTCAACACATGAATGGTGTGCGCACTTGTACACAATCAAATCTTGAATTAGTTGATTCGGAAAATCGCATCCAGAATTGCGAATGCTCTAAAAATGTTCGTTTTTTTTCATATGGAACCTTTGAATAAACTCACACTGCCTCACCAATTACCGCTTACGTCTAAGAATAATGCTACTCGAAGAGTCTAAACTCCGATCCCAACTGTCATTCTTATTGATCAGTGATTGATAAAAGTCTGTTCCATGCTTAATAAAGACTTTATATGGCTTTGAATGTTAAAACTTTGGGTAAGTGTGACTTTTATGATACTTTAAACCTTAATGCTTCTGAGATAACACAGAAATAAGTAATCAATTACGGTATTTATGATGTTTTATTGGTCTAACGTGAGCTATCAAATGCAAGTTTATCGTTGCATTGACAGTTCAACAATTTGATGTCATTTTATTTCAATAAAATTCAAAAATGCATTGAACGCAACGGAAAGAAAAAAATATCAATTTATTTTTATAGTTAAAATATGTTTTATTTCGTATTGGTATCGATTTAATAAATATTCTCATCATGGAAGATGTTGCCATGATGTGCATATCAGTGGAACCATGTCGGATGTGTACCTGTAACTGTCATGAATTCTCCTATTGCACAAGCTTTCTATTTGGTATTCTTCAGGTGAATACCCATTTTATCACCAAAATTATTAAATTTCACTAGTTCGAATAATTTGCCAATAACATAACAAAAGGGCTATTCGCCATACACCGATGCAAGCAAATTAGCGGGTTTTGAATACTTCAAAGATTTTTTTTCAGGGTAGTGAGAGGTATCAAAAAATCAACCATCTTTTTTCTTTCAGTTGGATCTCAAACAATTTATCAAATATTCAATGTATAATGGAAGCGATGATGAATGGCTGGAATGTGGATCAGCTCATTTTCAAGATATCGAATTTGAAATCCTGCTGCCATTTTCATCAAAAAATTTGTATCTTATAAATGAACGAAAGAAATTCTTGAGGATCCACGACGAATATACGAAACGGTTTATCAATAATCCGATTATTGAATTAAACTTGACAAAATAAAAAAGGAAAAGAATCACGATGGAGTAAAAAAGAGCTGGAAAAGATCACCGCTTTCCTTGCCTTTTACCTTTGACCTTTCTTAATTTTTTTATGACACAATTATTATCACTTTCCCAGTTATTATCATTACAAATTTTTTTTGCCTAACCAAATTAAGCTTTGCTGAATTTTCCATGTTATTTTTTTTTCTTTTTTTATTTCTTCTTGTTTAGGAACGAAGTGTTCTTGTAGCGCATTATGCTCTCTTTGCAACTCTTTTAGGCTTTATTTCTTATGGCTAAATGAAGTTAAGTGTGGCTGCTATGGAAGTTTTGCATTTTTTGGTGAAGATGATTGGAGGTAAGGGAAAAAATTTCATTTTTCCTTTCCCTGTATTTATAATTGTTTTGTGTATGTAAGTTTGGAGCTCGAATAAAAGACTAGTCGATGATTATTGATTGATTATTAATTATATAAATACTATAATCATTAAATATCAATGGGTTTCATGATGAAACGTACGCTAAAAGTACACATCGGCATTTAGAAATCACCTGACCGTTTGACAGCCGGTATCATTGGTAACTTGACAGTTAGGTTTACACGTATGCGTCGCAACATCCTGATAATTTATTGATTGAAATAATTGATGACAAATTTTCCTTTTTTGCTATATGTTTTACATGTTGGTTTTAACAAGAAATAAATTAAACTAATTGTAATATAGAAACTCCCAATGGTTTTATGTTATTTATTCGAGTTCTTATTCCATTTTTAATTGTCTTGAATTGGATGAACTTAATATAACATTCAAAAAGCTTCGTGTTGCTATGACGTCGAATTAATAAAATCAAATCTATCAACTTTGCAAAGTTTTAAAATTTATTTATTTTACAGTGGTTGTATCTTTATGGCGGATTTTATGCAAAAACTTGCACAACCACAAATTAACGATGAGTCTAAACAGCCTGGTTTTGGTCAGAGTATCATACGTTCATCGACAAAGTGCGCTTAAAATCTTCATTTTAACTCTTTGATTGTTTACATTTTGAATTTTTGGATTTTTTGAATTTTCGATTTGAATTTTTACGCATATTATTTCTTTTTTAAGGTTATTTGAAGGAAACGATCCACACATTAGTACTTTTTCCAGTGAACTTAAGGTACTTCCATATTTTGCATTAAATTCCTTACCTCATTAAATTTCAAGGTTTTGAAAAATTTTTTTTCTTGCCTTACTAGATTTAAATCATACGTGAAGTTACTTCCATACATTACATATGTCTAACGTCAAATTCTAACATGTATTTGTACGTCTGAAATGCATATCATTGGTTTATTAAATACTAGAGGTGTGGGAATATTTTACGGGAAATAACTCTACCAGATGTCGATAGAGAAATGGTAATGGTAGAATATGATGAGAAATAAGTTGTTCGAAAGATTAAAACATTAAAATAAGGAAAGAACCGTATGAATCAATCATATATATATATTAGTGGCCCAAACTGACAATGATTGGACTAAATTGAAAAAAAATGACAAAGGACCGATCAAGATCCCACATTGTGTAGAATATCAATGCAACATGATTTATAATTCCAAAGTTGGCAACTTTATAATTATAATTCCAAAATTAACCTCTTACCGGAAGATTTAACTGAATTTCAAAATGTCCATCGAAAATTCCATGATTTGCAGAAATCAGGTATTCATCCGTACAACTCTGACATTCATCCGGAAATGACTAAGTCTACGAGGAGCTCAGAAACTCTTCTCGACACTTATCGTAATTTTTTGAATACATACCAAATACACCTCAGGGATATTAATGCAACAAACATATTCAATCGATTTAAATTGGTAAATTTCCTCATTTACCTGATCATGCAAAAATTATGCCTTTAATTGACACAGTAAATTGTTGACACTATTGTGACGTGTATTAGGATATGTAAAATTCACGTTTTCATAATCGGTTTGTGTCAAGTAGTTCTTTTTTTGCTTAGTAATGATATGATATTAGCCAAATTTTGCAAATTTTTTATTTTGCAGATTATTAATTATATTGTGTGTAACATATGACATTACTCAATATTTTTTGTTTAATACTTCAGTGATATTTGGTCAAACATTTATAGATTCGAAGTGGCATTAATAATTTACATTTAACTGAAACGCAAGTAAAAAGTGAAATTAGAAAGAATATTTCGTTGAAAGAAGAAGTATCACAACTGGTGCGTACGCAAAGTATACAAATAATACCGTACGGTCAACGACCCACCGATTGGGGCACTGATCCCAAAGTTATTTATGGATGGGGCAATATTTCTTCAGTAACAAAGGTTCCATCTGTTTATTTATTCATTTTTCCATAATTTTCCTAATTATGACATTCGCCAGATTTAATTTGAAATTTAAAAGGCAATTTTGATATCTTTAGTTATTTTTGCAGTACTTTCCATATCAAATTTTTGCAAAATATGTTTTTCAGAATACGTCCTATTATTAAATAAACATTTCTGACCGCTTTATAATCATAATAATCATTTTGAATGTTATGAAAGTAATTAAAATTGTTATTTCCCAAAATTAGCTACGGTGACTTT